TTCAGCGGGGTGAGTTTCCTTAAGAATTCTTGTTCAGCTCTATAGTTGATCGTCTGTGGCTCTGATAAGGGATGGAGGTAGTCTGCCAAAGGGAACCGGCTTATTTAGTTGGAGACTGAATGGTATTATTACTTAGGATTTTGTCTTTTTTTGTCTTGTCTAGTTCCATGATCTGTGCAGTTTTTTAAGAAAGTTGGGAAGTAGGCTCAGCGCCTGTGGCTCAAGCGGCTAAGGCGCCAGCCACATACACCTAAGGTGGCGAGTTCGAATTCAGCCTGGGCCCGCCAAACAACAGTGACGGCTGCAACCAAAAAATAGCCGGGTGTTGTGGTGGGCACCTGTGGTCCCAGCTACTTGGGAGGCTGAGGCAGGAGACTCACTTGAGCCCAGGAGTTGGAGGTTGCCACAGCACTCTACCCAGGGGAATAGCTTGAGGCTCTGTCTCAAAAAAAAAAAAAAAAAAAAAAGGAAAGTTGGGAAGTAAACAGATTTCATAGATGTAGTTACTCCCTAGGGGGTTGATTTTTATCTTTGAACTAATGTTGTTTAGCCCCTTGTATTTGCCAGAGTTAAGTAACCATAGACTATTTTATAAAGAGTTTTCATAATGTACAAATGGGTTCCACAAAAGGATCAAAATGAGGTTGCAAATGTTTTAGGGAAAGGCAGTTAATTTTTTGTCTCATTTTCTTCTTGAAAATATGAATCTAACAATATTACATCTTATTAGGCATCTTAATGAAACATAAAATCAAGATCACTTTTTTTTTTTGGAGACAGTCTCACTTTGTCACTCTTGGTGGAGTGCTGTGGTGTCATAGCTCACAGCACCTCTAGCTCTTGGGCTCAAGTGATTCCCTTGCCTCAGCCGCCCGAGTAGCTGGGACTACAGGCATACACCACAATGCCTGGCTATTTTTAGAGATGGGGTCTCGCTCTTGCTCAGGCTGGTCTTGAACTCCTGAGCTCAGGCAATCCACCTACCTCAGCCTCCCAGAGTGCTAGGATTACAGGCATGAGCCACCATGCCTGGCTGAGGGTCACATTATTGAAGTTTTATATAGATGAGAACAGCACCAGGTTCTCTGTTTTGGAGTTACTCTGCAGGCCATCTGGTTTTCCTCCTCCTTTCTTCATTTCCTTTCTGTTTAAAGATTCCATGTACTTCCCATCTCTTCTTAATTTTCTGTCAGTTGGAGAGTTGGTCTCTAGAAAGAACATGGGCCATCGAGTCGGTCCTGGTTCAGATCTCCCCTGACTTACTCCCTGGCTGTGTGACTGTGTGTATATTGCATAACCTTTCAGAGGTGTCTCCTCTATGAAATGGGTTAACGACCTCTGCCTCAAACTCTATGTGAAATGCTTGGCATCTGGTGGGCTTCCATTAGATCCCAGTCTCCCATTGTTCCCTCTCCTGTTGCTAGCAGTGATGTGATAGAGCACGTTTACTTTGGGCTCACATCTATTCCTATATCCCTTTCTTTACTACAAGCTAGGTGGTTGTATCTGCCTTTCTTTTAGCCGACTCTCTGTATTATGAATCTTAAAAATATTCTGGTTAACTTGCTTAATGACTTAGCTTAGCTAAAAGGATATTGGACCCAAGTGCACAGTATGAGTTTTTAAGACTCGAACCTTACCCATTTTTGTGTTTTTTAGTTACAATGCTATTGACATATTCATCTGTCTATCTCACGTACAAAAGAGCAAGATAATGGCAACTATACATGTATAGGAGAGAAGAAAAATGAAAGTAGGCATGGCCACAGATGATGCCAGAAATAAGTTTAGTATAAACAGTGTTCCCTGCAGTCCTGTAATTTTCTTGGAGTAGGCATGGCACTTGGAGTCATTATGAAAAAGAAAAGGAATCTTTGTGTACATATAGCTTTTTCCTGTGCTGTTCATTTAACACCTTTTTCCTGTGCAGTTTTTTTTTTTTTTTTCCTAAAACCGGGACTAAGGAGATCATTGGTATCATCTCAGGGCAGGTATGGAATGAATTCTATGTTGAATGTTAAGCCAAGATAGCTTGAGAATTTTACTATTTATTTGTTAATAAAAATAATCACTCTAACAGAAGAGAAGCAATTAGGAGATTCAGCAATTCTAAACTAATTCTAATTCTAAATTAGAACCTAAAATGGTCAAAACTATAGTATGATGAATAATACACAAGAACAGATAAAAATTAGAATTTAAAGTTTATATTTAACTTCCTTTTTATTTTTGAGACAGAGACTCAAGCTGTCACCCTGGGTAGAGTGCTATGGCATCACAGCTCACAGCAACCTCAAACTCTTGGGCTTAAGCGATTCTCTTTTCTCAGCCTCCCAAAGTAGCTGGGACTACAGGTGCCCACCACAATGCCCGGCTATTTTTTGGTTGTGTTGTCATTGTTGCTTAGCAGGCCCGGGCTGGGTTTGAACCCGCCACTCTAGGTGTACTTGGCCGGCGGCCTGCTGATTGAGGTACGGGTGGCGCCTAAGTTTAACTTCTATGATCTATCAAACCTAGATTGAAAAGCTTAGCTGGTGACTTGGCCAGCATCACTTGGCCAACACAGGGTACCAGGATTAAATGTTCAGTTCTACCTCTTCTACTGCACAAAACTTGGATCTTGTGATCTCTGTGGTTCATTACTTTTACTATTCTAAAAAGTCTCATCTTCTAGTAGTTTAGAAGTGTTCAGGTATCATTTTGCATGTTGATGAAACCAGAAAGTTTGTGTATAGAGAGAAGTTCCCTGAAGGCAGAAGCTGGCTCAGTCTTACTCATTGTGTCTCTAGTTCTCTGTAGATGCTAAATAGATAGCTTTTGAATGAAGAAAAGGATACTGCCGAGTGGTATGAAAATCAAAGAAGTTTTCTTAAAATAATTATCAAATTTGTCTTTTCTTTTTTTTAAATTTCTTATAGCATAACTGTGTACATTAATGCAATCATGGGGTATAGTGTAGTGTTTTTATATACATTTTGAAATACTCTCATCAAACTGGTTGACATAACCTTCATGTCATTTTCTTAGTTATTGAGTTAAAATGTTCATACTCTGCTTTTAGAAAGATTCACTTGTACTCTTGTAAGGTAAACTATAGAGGTGACCCCACCAATCTCCCTCCCTCCCCCCATCCACCCCCATCACCTCCCCCTCCCATCCCCTTCCCATATTCTAAGGCTATAATTAGGTTATGACATTCCTATAAAAGCTATGAATTAGTTTCAAAGTAGGGCTGTGTACATTGGATACTTTTTCTTCCATTCTTGAGATACTTTGCTAAGAAGAACATTTTCCAATTCCATCCATATAAACGTGACCAAATTTTTCTTAAAATGAAAAATGTTTACCTTCTGGACTAAATTGCAATGTGGAAACAATCAGATAAGGCTTTGGAACGGTAGGGCCATACTTTACTGTGGGGAATTTAGTATCGTTCTGAATTTTTTATGTTTTTGTTGGGAGAGTCTCTCTCTGTTGTAAGACGAGAGTGCAATGGTGTCGTCATAGCTCACAGCAACCTCAAACTGTTGGGCTTAAGAGATCCTCCTGCCTCAGCCTCCCAAGTAGTTGGGACTACAGGCCTGTGCCCCATGCCTGGCTAATTCTATTTTTAGGCGAAATGGGGGGTCTTGCTCTTGCTCAGGTCTGGTCTTGAACTCCTGACCTCAAGCGATCCTCCTATTTATGTCTCCCAGGGTGGTAGGATTACAGGTGTGAGCCAGGGCTCTGAGGTTTATTAATGAATATCAGTAAGAGAAGATCTGGTTATACTTTGTGTTTACTTAACATCCTCTTTTTAAGGCTGTGAGGAGGATTTTAGAAAGGTAAAAACGTGTGGAAGTCTGATTTACAAAGCTCCTCACCTGCCTGTCTGAGACTCTGACTCTTCTGACCAACTCCTGTAATGTGGAAGTTTCTTTAATCTTGAAAATGGTAACTAGGTTCCTTGAGAAAAGGTAAACGTGGAAGCGCTTACTTTCTGTTTCATGCTCGACTGGAAGTTGGGGTTTTTGCTATAGGCCTTTGTTGTACCATTAACTAAATGCATAATTCTAGTCCTGTCTCTAATCCAAGCCTCAGGTTTTCATCTGCAGATCGCTAGGGTTGAACTGGGTGCTCACTAACCACTGGATGGTGTAGTCCACCCTCGTGTGCGGATTCTCTGTCCACAGTTTCAGTTACACACAGCCAAACTCAGTCCAAAAATATTAAATGGAAGAATTCCAGAACTTTAAATTGCTTGCTGCTCTGAGTAGCATGATGAAATCTCCCACCATATTGAGGTGAAATCATTTCTTTGCTCAGGTTACCCACAGTGTGTACGCTCCTTACTCATTGGTCACATAGTAGCTGTCATATACAAGGTTCAGTGCTATCCATAGTCCCTGTTGTATACAAGGTTCAGTGCTATCCATGGTTTCAGGCATCCACTGGAGATCTTGGAATGTGTCCCCTTCAGTAGCTATTGTATACAAGGTTCAGTGCTATCCATAGTCCCTGTTGTATACAAGGTTCCGTGCTATCCATAGTCCCTGTTGTATACAAGGTTCAGTGCTATCCACGGTTTCAGGCATCCACTGGAGATCTTGGAATGTGTCCCCTTCAGAGAAGGGGGGGCTACTGTACTCCCTTTGCCCCTGTGAATATCTGTCAGCTGTCAATTGTGGACCATTCATTTCCTGTGTTGTTTAATGACAGGATGGCTTCTCCCCATGGCTCACCCTCCCCATCTCTGTAACTTGAAGCTGCCTTCCCAAAACAGTGAGGTGGTGCTCAGAATTGGATCCAAACCTATGAAAATACACCCACTTAACATCACTTGATTAAGAGTACAGAAAGCATAGCTTTTAGATCTTAGATCTTCTCTACCTGGTTCCTCTTTTCATTAACCTAGTATTTGACACTTGGTATAGGGAGTTTTGCCTCCTCCGGCCGGTGGTACTTCACTGCCATGTGCTTGTCCTCATACACTAAATGTGGGTGTTCCTATCCTTTTCCAGGTACACAGTTTCTCCTAGCATGACCTCGATCTGATCAGCACGCACGAGAACTTGATTCCCGTGTCCTGCACCGGAGAGCTGGGGCCTGATCACCGCCCACACTACAGAGCCGTCATGGCCGCTGCCTCTCCCTCCACTCCTGTCATTACACAGCCCCAGGTGAGTGACCCAGACTAGCATCGGGGTGAGCTAATCATAGTTCTGTCGAATATTTAACTTGACTTTAAGGATGTATGCTTGACACTCGGGATCATGTATATTTCTCTCATTATCATTTGGTGGGTCTTTGTGGATAATGGTGCTTTTGTGAGTGAGATGCCATTTCGTTCAGAAAGCAGCTGGAACAATGAACAAGTGATTTTAGTGAACTGGCCTCTGTTCATAGGGGGCCTTGATTTTCAGAGCCTGGCTAGCCTGTTACTCTAGGCGTCAAGCTCTAAATCAAGATAACTCGTTAGTAAATCCTGCCATTTTCCACGCTTGGCTTTTCTTGGGTTTAATAAAATTATTTCAGAATAGTTCTAATCTTAGAACAAGTTTTCTGGGTGCTCTCTTATTGTCTTCCTCTCGTAATTATCACTTTGCCTTGACCTGTTCTAGGAACTTTGCAAGCAAAATGCAATTCTAGAAGCTTCTGAACAGCAATCACAGGAGTTACTTTCTCAGTGCTGTGAAGAGCAGGAATGTGGTTGGGACATTCATTGTTTAGATTATTTTACAACCTGATCTAGTTGAGTACTTACTGAACTCCTTCTTGTTCAGTGGGTTACATGGTACAACGTGGACATAGACTCTGGGGTTGTTAGGCCTCAGTTCACAGCCCCGTTCCCCTGATTGCCGGATAAAGAGCCTCAGGAATGCTCACCTCTCTCGGCTTTAATTTCTTCTCATGTAATCAATCGTAGCTCACACTATTGTTATACGGATTCAGCAATAGAACATATATGAAGTATATGTGCTCAGTAAGTACAGTTCTCTATTTATTCTTTTATCTTTTTCTCTTTCTAGAGTATGACCTCCCTTCTCATTTATAAGAACCATTTTTAGGCCAAGGTTAAAGAAAAAAAAGTCTACCTTCAAGAAAAAGCCTTATCGATTGAAATTTGAACCTTGATGATACACAACGTTGTTTCATACTTTTTTTCCTTAGCAATTTGTGGGCTCTTCAGTTTTGTCTGTAATGCAGGTAGAGGTGTATATGTTTGTGAGGAAGGGAAAAAAGAAAGGGAAAAAGCCAAAAAGGGGGATTTTTTTTTTTTTACTTCTTTTGTTATAAACTTTTTTTTTGTCCTCTGAAAGACCTGGGGATTTTATCATATGGATAAAGTTCCTGCAGTTCTTTAAGCTTTTAGTGTATTTTTTTTCTGGGATGTTTAGAATTACTGTCATCGTGTTTATTTCTCTAACTGGTAGATGGATCACTGCCCTTTCAACACTTCATTTACTCGGCCTCTTTGGTTCCCCTTACTCTCAGTAGTTTTTGTGGTGCCTTAGAGACTTGGAGGATGGGTAAAGAGATTTCCTGCCTCTCACCTGAGGTCACCATGTCAAAGTCCACTGCACCTCCTCCCAGGTAGGAACAAATCTTAGCGTTTTGTGAAATGAGTTAGGCCCTGGAACGGGTTTTGAGGACAAGGCATTCTAACACCCAGGCCTGCTGCTGTCATTTGTAAGCGTTTTTTCCATCAGCATCATCTTAGCCACATATCTTTCCTGTTACATAAGCTACTATCAGCTGGTGAGTAATATAAATACTTCTATCTGACTTACTAATTAAAATGCTTAACACTGCCCAAGGTAGAAAGAGGTTCTGTTAAATAAACACCAGGGAGACATGTGTACTCTTGTAACTTCTCTGGGGGAAAGTAAACTGGTACGGTTATTCTGGAGAGTAACTTGACAGTATCTATTAAAATTATATACTTTACACATACCCTGATCCTGGGTTGGTGTCTACGTTAGAAAGACACTCACTCAAGGAGGAGTGTATAGAAAGATTCATTGAGGCATTGGTTAAAAACCAAGAATTACAAAATTTTCTGCATATCCAGTAGTGAAAAGACTTAATAAATTCAAATACCACTCAGTGGTTAAAACGTGGGGTTATCTACAGAGCTGTATATTGCCCTAAGATATCCTATGGAAGGAATATTTCAACAGGGCAAAAATTAGATCTTGGGAGATGCAAAATCATTCCAGAGTGTAATCCTGCTCAACAAAATCTTCCTTAGCATTCAATTTTTTCTCCTTAGGGAAAATTTAAATTTATTTAAAATTTTCTCTTTAGGGTTACGAACAAGAAAAAAAAAGGTTAAGAAACACGGGTACCTTGAAGCTCTCCAGTCCCACTGCCTGAGTTGAAATCTTGGCTCTGATGTTGACTGATTACCTGAGACTGAGGGGCAGGTGCTCACCTTCTCAGTGCCTCACCCACAAAATGAACATGGCAATAGTGGAGCCAGCCTCCTGGGGTTGTTTTAAGGAATGAATGAGATAATCTGTATAAAACTTAGAGTAATGTCAGGCACATGTTACTTGATTCATGTTAACAAAAATGTTTATTTAGTGGGCCCTGTGGCAGGCCTAGGGGTACAAGAAATGAGGCTTTGGTCCTGCTAGAGTTTAGAAGTAGAGTGGGAGATACACAGATAAGGAAGCAAGAAGGCCCAACACTGTGTCACGAATGATGACCCAGCAAGTAGTGGGTGTTCTAGGGGTGAGGTGGAACATCTGGAAAAGACTTGGAGGATCAGGAAAGGTTTCTTGAAGGAAGACCACCAGGCTGGGAACTAATGACTAGAAGTTATTTTGGTAAAAGAGAAGAAGCAGCATGTGTGAATGTCAAACGTCCCAAGCTGAGCGTGAGCGAGAGAGCACAGCATTTAGAATTTAGTTTGGGACAGTTGCAATGTAGTGGGGCATGGGGTTGTTAGCGGTGATGTTCCCAGAGCCACCTCTGCAGGCTCAGCGTGGCGGTGGGGGGGGGGGGAGGGTTTCAGGAATTTTGTGAGCTGACTCAATGCTGTAGCTTGAAATCAGTGATAGTGGAATAGTTACACTTCAAAGATTGGCAAATGCTAGAATTAGCTTAAATGGGTTAGGTTATACAGTTGGAGATTTTGCAGGGTCTTGGAAGTTATATTAATGAGTTTAACATTGATCTTGAAGAGTAGTCTAATTTAATGGCTACCTAGGCTTTGGAATCTTAGACCTGGGTTCAAACCCTGACTTTTGATAATTCTGTTGAGCAGGTTGGTAGATAGGACAGTGATAGCCATTGATAGTTGGGGCACTAGGCCTACTTGGAAGGAGCCCTCTGTAAACGCTGGTGTTAGGTCACAGAGAGCGGTAACTTAACTGTTCTGGAGAGCAGTGGACCATTGAGTCACTTGGTTCCCAAGTTCCTCTGGTCACTGAGGGGCCTTCTGGCATATGTCAGCTCTTTGCCTGTAATTTGTACAAATTTTAGCCCAGAGCTGACTTGCCCTTATCCTTTCCCGCAAGCTTGTATTGAGGTCATCTCTCTTACTATCAGTCTTCCCCAGACTCAGAGAAGGTAAAAATAATTCCAATGCAGCTTCTCGTTAGGCAAAGTATAATATACACTTCGCTCAATCAGCTCAGCATGATATTGTCTGGCACCTCCACTTGCATTCTTTCGGAGTGGGAGTGAATTCAGGGACCCGTGTAAAGATAAACCCACATTCAAGTATAAAAGGCCTGAAACTCCTTTTCTAAGGCCCAAACAATTTTTTAAAAAAGCTTCTGGTTTCGTTTGTTACTCTATTCATTTGTTAACAAAGAGCATTTTTCTAATCAGTGCTGCCTAATACTACATATAAACTAATTAATACAAGCCAAATAGCTTGTGATTGTTTCAAACAATAATAGGGAAGAAAGCTTCCATTGTCACTCCTGCTGGGATTACTGTTTAGTTAGTGAAAGATAGGCCTTGTGCTTTGAAGCTGGACAAGTTTGTATTGTCTGCTTTACTCTGCCTGGACTTTAGGAGAGATTTTTGTTTTCTCTTGCTGAGAGAACACCTAGTTTTTACAAAGCTAGGTGAACCCCACAGCAAAGCTGGACTGGCTGCAGCAGGAAGACGGTTTGTTTGTAGCTGATCCGTAGTTCTGCTAGTCCAGATGCTGATAAACAGCTTCCTTTCCCAAAGGAAGCTCCAACGATGTATTTGCAGACAGGAACCTGTTCATTAGGTTGAGTTAATGGGTTCATGTCCTGTGGATGTTGGGGAGTGAGGATGGGGTAGGAAACCAACAACAACAATAACAAAACCCCCAACTTGCCATTCTCAATAGCCATATTGTTTCTAGAACTGTCTAAAGCATTACTTTAATTGTGTTCGATCAGGTTACTGTGGGTAGAATTTATTTTTTATTTTTTTTCCTTTTGTTAAGTCATATACATAGAGATCATGAATACATTTATGGATGTGTTGATTTTTTATATAATTTGGAGTGCTTACATCAAACTAATTAACATAGGTTTCACCTCATTTACTTAATTATTGTGTTAAGATATTTATGTTCTATACTTGATAGATTTGACTTGTACCCTTGCAATATACTCCACAGGTGTGGTCCCTCCCTCTATCAAACCTCCCCCCTACTCTCCCTTCCCCCTTCACTTGTCTCCTTCACCCTGGGCTATAGTTGTGATCTATCTTTCATAAGAAAGTGTAAGTAATTATAAATTGGTTTCATAAAGTACCAAGTACATTGGATACTTTTTCTTCCATTCCTGAGATATTTTACTAAGAAGAATATGTTCTAGCTCCATCCATATACACATAAAAGAGGTAAAGTCTCCATCTTTTTTAAGGCTGCATAGTATTCCATGGTATACATATACCACAATTTATTAATCCATTCATGGGTTGATGGGCACTTGGGCTTCTCCAGGACTTGGCAATTATGAATTGAGCTGCAGTGAAAAATAGGGTGCAAATATCTTTGTTGCAAAGTGATTTTTGGTCTTTTGGATATACTCCTAGTAGAGGAATTGCAGGATCAAACAGCAGGTCTACTTTTAGATCCCTGAGTGTTCTCTAAACTTGCTAATGTGGGTAGAATTTAGATCGAAGGTTTTATTTCCATTTCTAATAGAAGAGTCAATACTTCAACACCTGAATGAACAGTCTG